GTATTTGTGAAAGACTGATTTTCAATTAATCAGGAACACGTATTTAAATAGCTATCAAAATTTGAATAGGTAACAAATATTAGAAAAGCTACAACATTTTGAACAGCGATTAGGATATAGATAGCTATTGAAACTTAAATAGACGACAAGTATTAAAATAGCTATGAACGCTTTGAATAATTATGAAAAAATCAAATAGCTATAAAAGGATTAAATAGGTATGAAAGAAAGAAATTACTATGGAAGAAATAGCTTTGAAAGAATCAAATAGCTATGAAAGCTTTTAATAGCTATGAAAGAATTAAATAGGTATGAAAGAAAGAAATTGCTATGAAGTAGGCGAATAGAGCATCTACACCAACATTCACCGACCATTTTCCACCCACTACCACACTCATACAGATATTAATGAAACTAGTTCGATTACAATATATGTGCATTTCTAGTTTACGATGTCTTCTGAAGATTGATCCAGACCCACCCTCACAGTTTGATATACTTAAACTTGAGAAATTCAATTCTAGTTGATTGAAAACTAGAAACCCTGTTACACTAATTTGATATCAAATCAATTTCTATTCGTTAAATAAGTGAACTTTGTAGTTCTACTTATAAGGAGAAAATTGTGCTTTGACATATTTATTTCTAAGATTAGATCTTAAAATGTCCTACAATTTGATCATCATGACAAAAACTTGGGAACATGTTGAGAACTATGCTTATTCTCTTTTGACGTATATTTATTTCTATGATATATGACTGAAAAAGGAACTTTACTTTCAATGGGAACTGTGGCCTCGTACAACGAAATCTTATCTTATTGTTTACTGATAGTTTCTGATCGAAATTGAACAATGATTTAAAGTGCTGTTGTATTGAAACAAGCAGGCTTTTTGTCATTTTCTAGCGCTCCATAGTAGGTGATAGTGATTTTGTGGCAAAAAAGTTGAAGAAGCAAAATGTCGAAAATTTGACGTCCGTTGAACTAGAAACTTCACCTTTGTTGTTATTTACTTGTTGCGTGAATGCATTTTCTAATTTATTCTAGACATCAAAGCTTTGGAAAAGTATCTAGTCTATAATATATAAGGGCTTCTCATGCCCGACTTTTTCCTTTCAACGTTTTATAGCTTTACATGTTGAAATTACACTATAACAAGTTCCGAATAAAGTACAATATATGGAAAGTTGAATTACGTGAGCCTGTTGCATGAGGTGTCTAATTTGGTTTCGAATATAAGTGGAGAACTAACTGTTTATTATTACTTCCAAAATAAGCAAAAAATGGCTTCCCTGTCGAAATAGCAAAAAAAGCAAAAGAAAAAGTTCATATAATTCTAATTTATAATCTGAAAGCACGCCCATGTTGAAGTAGACAAAATTAAAACGATGCAAACTGTTCTGAACTATGATGATGAATCCAGTGCAAACTATTCTAATATGAGATGCTACCTATGATGCTTCAGATACCTCTTGGGATAACTCATGTAGATTTGCCCTATAGCTCTCTGAAGCATACTCTAGATACATGTGTGGGAATGGAGAATAATGCTAGTGCCAAGTTTGGCATGGTACATCTAGTACTCGACTACTCACATCAGGTTTTCTCCGAGTAACTGACTTTTCATCTCAGTGCTGTGGTGTGGGGATACGAAGCGCCTCCTGAAGAGCCGCAACTCATTCTCGTCTCTGTATACACAGTGATGAACTAAAGCGAAGATTGAAATTATGATAGTAATTTATATAAAATTTTTCTTTTGCTTTTTCCTATTTTAACATATGTTTCTTTTCGTTTATAAAGGACATCGCCCGATAAAATCATAAATCTGTCTTCCCCGTAAGTTACAATTTCAACAGTTTAGAATGGTAGGGTATGAAATTCTACACATTTCTGTGCATTTATTTATTTATTTTGTTGGAAGAAAAAAAAAATTTCAAGAACTAAATAGTCTTAGAGGTCTACCATTTTTTGAATGTTTACAATAATAACTCTGGAAGTCATCATTTTTTCTTTTATAAACCAAATATGAAAACTAATAATGTAGATCGACGTGATTTTTCAAGCTCTACAAAATGACATAATAATTATGTTTATCTTTAACATCTCTCTTAGATTATGTAGAATTAAATGAGTAGGATTCTCATATTACGCAAATACTTTTGCAGTCTACTCTTATATTTTAAAAAAATTTGGGAACTAAAAATCATTATGATCAAAAACGACGCCGTCTCACGCTTTACAAATCTCTATATAGTTTTCAGAAAAATCTTTTCTCTTCTAACGCACCTTTGCATCGAAACATTGTAACAAAGTGACCATTTCGAGACTATTTTACAGTTGATATTGGTTTTGGATCTTAATCTCATTTCAACCTCAGGTCAAAACGAATATCATATTCGAATTCAGCACTAAAAACTACCCATATTTAATGTACATTTCAGCACAAATAGATTTTTACGTAAAACTGCCCCTCCCTCCCTTCCCCATGGGAATCACAGACGAAACTTGAGCAAGGAAATTGCTGAGGCGGACCATGTTAATTTTGTCCATCAATAGACTATTTGTGCTGAAATGTACATTAAATATGGGTAGTTTTTAGTGCTGATTCCGAATATGATATTCATTTTGACCTGAGGTTGAAATGAGATTAAGATCCAAGACCAATATCAACTGTAAAATAGTCTCGAAATGGTCTCTTTGTTGCAATGTTTCGATGCAAAGGTGTCTTAGAAGAGAAAAGGTTTTTCTGAAAACTATATAGAGATTTGTAAAGCATGAGACGGCACCGTTTTTGATCATAATGATTTTTAGTTCCCAATTTCTTCTTAAATATAAGAGCATCCTGCAAAAGTATTTGCGTAATATGAGAATCCTATTCCTGTGATCCTACATAATCTACGAGAGATGTTAAAGATAAACATAATTATTATGTCATTTTTTAGAGCATGAAAAAACATATCGATCTGCTTTATTAGTTTTCATATTAAGTTTACAAAAGAAAATATTATGGCTTCCAGAGTTATTTTCAAAAACATCCAAAACTGGCAGATCCTCTAAGACTATTGAGTCCTTGAAAGTTTGTTTTTTCTTCTAACGAAATAAATAAATGCACAGAAATGTGTAGAATTTGATGCCCTATCGTTCTAAACTATTGAAATCGTACTTCAAGAGGATGACAGATTTACGATTTTATAGGGTGGTGTCCTTTATAAATTATAATTTATGTAAAATTTTTCTTTTTTTCTATTTCAACATAGGGATGTAGTGCGATTGATAATATTAATTAATAGATGAGCTAAATAATTTTTTTCTTTGCCTTTTATGACCTCGAAACATGGCAGCGACTTTTTTAAAATTGTTTGTGTACAGTCGAACTCGAATCAGGCATCTACTTACCTGTTGGTTATTTTATTCAATGGAAAGTATATGATTGTGTTTTTGCCGTTCGCTTGATCACTTGGGATGTTCGATAGAAGAAAGAATGAAAAAAGAAAAAAACTTGCAGTGAATCAATACAGGTAAATACGTTTGCCTCTTAGTTATCGGGAGCCGGTATGAAGTACCAATACTGTTGATAAGAAAAACATAGAAACAATGTACACAAAAATTCCTTTCCATCACAAATTAGTATCGAATAGGTATGGAGTGTGGATATGGAGAGTGGTTGTGCGATTAGGTCTGAGATGTAGGTTTGTGGTGGATGTTTTTCACTATGTGGTCACACCTACACCCTATTGTTATCCAATTATCTAGTATTAAGTATTTCTTATATATTATAGGCCTTTAGAATTACTTCAAGCTTTTTATGCTTCAATAAGAGAAGAAAATTACATGTAGTATGACAAAACATAATTAATAGTGAATAATGCAATGTGCTTACTGGATCGCGCGGAGACTTTTATTCAAGTTTTAATTTACTATATGATAGAGCGTATCATCATCTGTCTTTGGTGAATGCACAAAACTGCACACATAAGCCCTTGTTGAGATACGACGTTCTCAAGATAACCTTCGATGTAGACTCATTCAAAGTGATTTCTATAATAATTACTTATCTTTCAGATTGATCAAATTTCCAATCGACAATACAAGCTCAAATATATACATTTTAGAATTTCTACATGGATTGATTTGTTCTGAAAGTAATCCATAGATAACTTCCAACTTTGGAATTCTAATCGGAAAATGTCGATATACTGCGAGTAAATCTCTCCAGATTTTGAATAGTTTCTGAATCGAAACTATAATCATTCAATCAGTGCTGATGAGCGTTAAAAATATCTTAGAATGATTCTATTGTCTCAGCATTTGTTCTTATGATATCGAGTTTTTACTGAATTTGTCAACAGAACGCCGTACTCCTCCTCGAATCACGTTGAAATTTGGCTATTGAACTTGGATTTGAAGCATTGCACAAATAACACTTTCAACGAAACTGGCTCATTTTGAATGTTTCAGCCGTTTTCGTTGCTTATGTCGTGAGACACGAATATTCGAATTTTCGTTGTGTCAGAAAGTAAATTTCGTGCTTTTATTAGTATCTCACGACAGAAGCAATGAGAAAGACTGAAACTGTCAGAATGAACTAGTTTTATTGCAAGCATCCTTTGTGCAAAGTTTCAAGTCAAAATTCAATTGTCAAATTTCAGCGTGACTTCAAGGGAGTTCGGAGTTTCGTTCAAAATGCAGTAAAAAAATCTAACGAGTAAAAGAGGCTAAATAAGCACAGATAATTACCATTATGTGAGAAGCATAAATACATAAAATATGAAGTTTTTAACTATAATAATTGGAAGGATTGTTCCTGGTCTCCTTTTTCCGTCCACTGTTTCTCACAACTTCACTCACATCTCACAGATTGCAAAAAGTGTGCCTTCGCTATAGCATCGTCAACGACACATGTTGATTCTGTTTCGCTTCACATCGGTACTAACTTTATTCTTATTCTCTCGAATGAGAAAAAAAAGCTCCATTGTTGACAGTCAATAAAGTGCAGCATTGGTCGATTGTTTAATGAAATTTTTGCACAAATACAGCAGTTACTCAAGTGTATGTTGTGCAGGTGGATTGTGTTTTTTGCAAAAAAAAGAGAAAATATGTGCACAGTAAGCAACTTTTGCGCGGTCTATATGAATGCTTCGGGTGTGGGTGATTGTAAAGTGTGGATGTAGGCCTAGAGAACACCCACGACCTCGTCTGGAATAGGTGAAAGCCTTGACTCACGAAGAATTACGAATAATGGCAGAATATTTTTTAAATGAAAATTGGCGCTGTTTCGTTAGGCATTACGTTTGGATTCAGAAGCTTCTACCTTGTCTTAAATAAATTGAATCGTTTGACTTGTGACTTCGAGCTTTTCTTCTAATGACTTAACAGCAACTTGTATGTATTGAATCTTCTGTTCACACACGTCGAGTTGTTCATTTAACAAATTGATTCAATGTTTATTCTCAGAGTCTCATTCAAGTAGTTTCGCTTTGAACGATTTTAGGGAGACACGAGTCTTCTCACCGTCATCTTCATTTTTTAAAGCATCTCCATATCATATGAGTTCTGTATATAAGGCTAGTTGATAATAGGCTGCCAAGCTAGATGCATTAGAAAACTATATACAGATGAACTGCTAGCTTGAGTCATTCAAACGATGATCTTCACCACAGGAAATACATTTGGGTACTTCTGAACGACAATGATCTTTGAGCTCAACATACTTCTTGCCGCAAATTTTGTATGTTACTAGATCCTGTTGAGGGTAGTTCTTTTGAAAATGACCGATAGTCATAGATCAAGAACGTATGAGAACATTTGGTAACGTCAGTTATTCAACCCATTATGTACGTTGACTGATTTGATTTCAAAGCATCAGCATTATTCATTTCACTAAATAGCTAAATTTAACAAACTAAAGATTCGTATTCCATTAAAATAGATACACACATATAGATTTATATCTAAAGCAAGTCATCATGTTCTATGAATATGTAGTTCAAAAAGAATTTCTTGTTTTATTTCATTTATAATCCACTAAAGATCAGCAATCTTTGTTGCGAGTTTAACTGAATGATTCTATGTTGTATATACTAATAATCGAACTTCTAATTTCATTAATAATTTCAATCAGAAGTAGGAATAGAACGAGATAAAACAATATCATTTGAAACTTCACTAAAGAAAATGTTTTGCTTTCAAGAGATCCATTTTATATCTTCTATACAGCAATGAGTAAATAATTCTGTGATCAATAGAATGTAAGATGTGGGTGTGAGTGAAGACAAGGCTCGCACAAACACCCGCAAACCACACCCTCCTTAATTCACTTCGACCGATCGATTAATTCAAGGATTTAAGCTCAGACTAAAGCGATTTCGAGATTTTTGGAACTACTTAAACTCTATATCATATTATTTTTTGTTCAACTGTCAATCATTACTTGTACTCGATCTGTATTTATTATTTTTCAAAATCAAGAATGAGCATAAAATGACAAGATTGGTATATAAAAAAATTGTTCTGTGTTCATTAGGAAAAAGATGCATTATTGTGTGGTGGCAGACGTCCGTCAATTGTTTTCTCAATTGCATTGGTGACGATCACCGGAAGTCCAAACTCCATATCCATGGAAACTTTACCAAACAGAGCTGTAATCATGAGTTCATAGTACAAGTTAAGTGGTGTTTCAGCAGGCGAGGAAGGAAGTTCGAATGAACACGTAGGAGCAACTCTGCGAGCTACAGGCAGCTCGAAACTTTTGTTAAAACGTTTGCCTTGAAATAATTCGAAGTCTTCGAGCTCATAATCAAGTAGATCGATGCGTTGTACTGTGCTAGAGCCTATTTTCCATATTTGAACGAGAGTCGCCGATATGCCTAGTATCACTGCTTGCTGTTGATTGAGCAAGTTTATATTAAATATCAAGTTATTACCAGCAGCAACAACATTCTTCTGAAGAGTTACGTGGATACGAGCACCATTTCTAGTCTCACTTTTTTCTTCGACTCGCGTCACATTGACAGGATACGTTGAATAATATTGAACGACAATAGGAAACTCTTTTTCAATATATCTCTTGTACAAGTTGGGTCGAACCAGTTCAACTTTAACGAAATATCGAATATATGGATCCAAACTTGTGGTCTGTTCGATCGAAGGCGGTAGAGGATGACCAAGACGACCACGAAACGGCCAACTGTAATTGCCAAACGGTAGAAGAAATTCACTCTGATTACTGATCGACTGAAGCATGACATATTGTTCAAAGAATTTCACTCCATGTATAGTTGTCGTTGATTTTGAGCCTTTGTGGGTTGTAGTGGTGTAGACAAGCTTGCCAACTAGTGTAGCGTTGATGCCCCACAATTTCAAGCTTCGATGATTACTATTAATAAATTCGATTGTGCCCGAAACAACCTCACCTGTCAAATAGTGAGTTTTGTCTTGATCAGTAAATCGGCATATAATATTCCATTCTGAGTCACTAGTGTCATTCAATACTATGACATAACAAAATTATCAGCATTTCTCTCAAGTTATTTAGAAGTATGAAATTTTTAGAGGCAATTCCTACCCTACTTTGAAATCTGACAGTGCAAAGAAAAAAATGTAGCATTGTATTTTATACAGTATTTACGCCATCATCAGCAAAGATCTATGGAAAAGCAATGAAAGCAACTGAAAAATCCATCTTCATGTTTCATTCTCAAATTTTCGCTTTGATCACGATCACTAGTATATGAATATTCGGCAAATATGAGCTCACTATCTGATGTCTCGCCTGAGATATTGATGTCATAAAAATGTATAGGCGTTTGACTCTTCAGATCGAAGTAGTACGAAAAAATCGATCGTGAAGATTGAGATTGAGGCTTCAGCTACTGATAGAGATCATAGATATGAGTTCATCAACAGATAGAAATGGTACAATTTTCGGTAAACTCATGAAAATTTTAAACTTAAGAGGACTATTCATCCGGACTCTAACTGAAATAACTACAAAGCAATAAGTTACGGATATATCTCAAACTTAATATAGAGAAGATTCATCATTCATACCCATAATGGTTGCCAATAATCCAACGTACAAACCGATAATGATAAAAGGACACATTAAACATGTGATAAGCGCAATTTTTACACGTCTTGTGAAGTAAGAACTACTGCCAGATACAGTTGGTCTGTAAGTAACTATGGTTGTTGAATCTTCGATATTTTCTACCGGGGCCATAGGCGATAGTGCAGTATGCATTGTGTGTGCCTATTTAATTAAATATTTTTTTCATGATCTTTTAACATAAGACTGTCACTCACCTTAGTACTCTCGTCCAACTGAATAATGATGGTGTGATTGTCTGAAAGATGGGTTTTTTAAACTACTGTTTAACTCATGGTATGGTGAACACTGTTGTACTTTCACCTTTTCTGATTCTATTTTAGCTTTTTCGATTTTTAGAGTTATTTTTCATAAGTTACCTTTGAATTTTAAATATACTCGAAATATGATTCATAATGCATATTCAAATATATCAGAAAGAAGTAACTGTCTAGCACGCTCTACACGCGATTAAGAACTTGTGCACAAAAACCATGAACAAACAAACTTTTGGACTATCTAATGCCAACAGTGTTGGTCTTCTTTTCACTTTAAATACTAACTTTAAAAGAGAGATATAAGAAAATCAAATAGGACCAATTCGTCATTATCAGACTTATAAATAAGAAAAAAAAAGATTTTTTCCAAGGAATCAAACACTATCTTTTGATGATGTTGTTATGTTTTTATTCCGATTGTTCTCTTTTCTACCAATCCTTGCAGCTAACATTCTAACTCATCGATAGAACAGAGAGAAAAAGATGAAGAGACTACTATATGTAACATAAGAAAGGAGACACTAGATGAACAAGATTATAGAACAGTCTTTGTAATCTGCTGTCAAGGTCCGTATCTTTGGGATAGAGACAAACGTTTTTCGAAGAAAAAAATAAAAAAGAAGGACTGATGTATCAACATCCACCGGTGAACGGTGTATTTACTACCTAAAACGAAGAAACAAACTAAAATAGAAAGTATGTGAAAAAGATAAAAAGAGATGCAGAACAACAAACATTTCCATGAGGATAGAAACGGAGGGGAAAAAACTGTATTGACACGCAAGGGGTAAAAGAGAAAAAACACGCTTGATGATTGTGAAAATGAAAGACTCGACAGAAGCCAGCATAATAATAACAAGGGAAAAAAAGGAATATACCGCTCGAGACTGAAAGAAAAAGAAAAAAGCAGAGACTAGGATGGTGAGGAAAGAGAAAATGGATATCGATCGAGAGTGAAAGAAAAAAGAAGAAGATGACAAGAGAACGGCAAAGGAAGAAAGCAATAAGATATCTGTAAAGCTTGATTTATAAAAAAAAAACTGAAACAGCGGCATCATTAGAAAAATATGTCCGATCAAGCTGAATTTTTTATCGCTTCGAGAGCCAATCAATACTAATTGGTGCTTGAAGTTTGATTTTTCCAGCTCGAATTCTCACTATAATTAGGATTCCAGAACTGAGAAAAAGGGGTTGAATATTTTCTCCAAGCCTCGTAATGACCATCCTTTCATCTTGAAAGTTTGCACAAATAGTATTTTCAATGGGATTAATTCATGACTAAAATTTCAGCTTTTTTAAATTACGCTTATTGTGAGATACAAATATAAGTAGAAAACTTGCTTTTTTCACACGATAGAAGCGACTTGAAAAGCTAAAACTTTCACCATAGGCTATTCTCATTCGAAGCATTATTTGTACAAAGCTTCAAGTGGAAAGTCAGAAGTCAACTTTGAAACTGACCTGAAGGCACTAGAAGTTTGATTGAAAAACAAATAGTAAAAGTTCTTTTTCGTAAGAATGAAGATCTGAAACACTAAATCATTCTAGATTTTTGTATTACTTGCTAGCACTCTTAAAATGAATATAGTCTCGATCCAAAACCAATTTAGTATGTTAAAATCTTTCTCTTAAAATTACAAAAGGTGGAGCCCATTGAATGCCAGAGTTTCCACCAATGAAAAAGACCACTTTTGCACTAAACATATAATGAGATCGATCTGGTTATTCGAAGATTATTTAAATCATAAGTGATAATGACATAAAAAAGACTTCCTGCGTTATATATTTCCACGGATATCTACTAGAGCAAACGCTCAAAGTTGATGATGTCAACCCGTTGGAAATAGTTATGCTAAATATGAATCCAACTATATAGAAAGAACTCCAAGCAACTTTATGCCCGTCAAATTTTCATACTTAAAAAAAATTCAAAGATATTATTATATGATCATATCTTCTATATTGAGTAATTCTTTTCTGAGCAAAGATAATTCTAAATCATATCATGTTAATAATAAAATCTTGTTGCTAGTAGCAGAAATTAGACTCACAAAAACTGCGACAAAATCAAGTTTTCCACGAGGTTTTTCGACTCAAGCGATAGTTTTGAGAAAGAGTTTTCATTTAATAAAATATGTGTCGTACTAAGTCGTATCTATTCGGAGAGTCTCAACATTCTATTATGGGAAATTCTAAAAATTGGAATTATACTAGGTTGGAAATAATATTTTTACAGGGGAGTACCGCTTTTATTTTAAATAGCATAAACAATGAATTTTATACCTGGGTATAAAATTCATTGTTTATGCTATTTAAAATAAAAGCGGTACTCCTCTGGAAAAATATTATTTTGAACCTGGTATTGGTAATATTGACAAGACAGGTCTTTGTATTGGTTTTCTTTTTGACATGAATGACAAATTTTTATATAAATCCGTAAACGATGTCAGTTTTACCAGCTCTAATTCATGGATAAACTCTCTAGACATTTGTTATATCCTATGTAAGATGTTTCAACATAACTACGCTTATAAATAGTGTACGTTCCTTCACATATGAGTACTGGCTTCTTTGTGTTTGCATCACATAGTAAAATGAGTGAAAATGAATATTCTGCTGTTTTATTTAGAGTTTATTTGAACAAATAATCACATTCTTTTTTTTCTCTATTGATAGTGAGATTTAATAATAACAAAAAAAAGTTGCAATCTGTTGCACCTAATTACAACGAAATCGGCCTAAGTTTAATTTTGCCTATAACACGATATATACAGAGTGACCCAAAAGTCACTGGACAGTTTTTGATTGCAAATAATGTTTGATAGAAACAAGAACGAAAGCTACGGCTTTCATCGTTGAAAGGAAGAGACTTGAGGGTATCAAATCATATAAGAATCATTATATTTAAAAATATTTTTAGGAGGGCTTTGAAAAACCAGGATTTTCAAAAAGTTGAAGTTCTCATAACACTTTGAATTTTAAGTACACCAGTTTACTTAATGATGATTTTTTGCATACCTCAGAAAAAATTATCAATATCATGTTCCTTCAACGTTTCGAGATCTCTTCTTTATAACAATGAAAGCACGTATCTCTCTTTCTAGTTTCTATCACAAGTTATTCGCAATGCAAAACTGCTCGGTTGCTTTTAGGCCATGATGTATATAAATTAAGCAGAAAGCATCGCAAGATTTAAATAAAAAGACGTCCTATTAGTATATATAAAAGATTTATCTTCATCTTTATCAAATGATGGCATATAATGTACATAAATGTCTATGAAATGTTTTTGATGTATAGAATGACGAAAAAGCTTGGATGGTAATGGTATATAATGATAATCTTTTATAATATGAGTTTGATTAAGTATCATTTGATGATGATGATCTATTGTTATATTCACTTGAGAATATAAATAATATATATATAAATAAAAATGAGTGTCATTTATTGAATTACTATCAATCATAAGATCGAATGATTTTGATAAAGATAATTTTCTATAATTAGTATAAGGAATCGATGTAAGATTCCAAATATGTTTAAGTTTATATAAATGTGAATAATCATATGTTAGTACACGTTTAATATGTGTTGTTGGAAATTTAATTTCTTCTCGATTATATGTGAAAATTCCATTTGATTCATTTTCAACATCAGATAATTGCGTATAAATTGCACCTGATAAACGTGGTGAAAGATTAACTATAAGTTTTTCAAATTCATATGTCATTAAATAACGATCATTATATGCATGATAACTCCAACCAGATTTTATTAAACCTAATCCACCAAATTCACCAATAACTAATGCTCGAGTTTCATCATTAAATAATGGTAATTTAATTTTTTTAGAATAATCATGTATATCTCGAATA